GCCGCGCTGGGTACCCCCCTGTGTGTACAGTACCGTGCCGATGACTCACTTGTGTGTGACAAACCTTCTGTACAACTTCCTTCTCCTCCTTGCTGTTAGTGCATCGTTCCAATGCCTGGGTGTGCTTTGTGTACAGTATCATTGTGAGTTACACAGATTAAAGAAATGGGAAGGCTCTTCTCTGTCTGCTTTTTTGGGGGAGGCTCTAGAAACAGACAAGTCGCAAAACACGAGACGTGAGCAGGCGCCAGTTTAATGGGGTTACAGCGATGAACACAATGTGGAAGCCCTCCGCACAGATCGGTCCTGCAGGACCTATTTGTCCTTATTTGTCCTTTTTTTAACTTTTTTTTTTTTTTAACAGCTTGTAGATTTATGGACTTTGCAGTCAGGGAAGGGCCAGCTGTTTGCTTCACAGTGGCCATGGGCATGGGCCACGAGAACTTTGGAGCCCCAACGCTGCCTGGGGCCTGCGCTGTGGGGAAGGGACAGGAGCTGCATGCAGGAACAGACAGCAAGGGAAAGTCAGCCCTCTGCAAAGCACACCTCCCCGCACCCCAGTGCAGCGTGCCAGGTCAGTCCCTGCTCCCCCAGCACCACCCGATGAGATGAAGCTGCGTAAAGGCCCTGGGGCACAGCCAGGGCGGTACCCGAAGGCGCAGAGGAGAGCTGCAGCCTGAGCAGAGCCACGCAGCGGCACGGCCGCTCCTCTCTGAGCGGGGTCAGTGGGTGTGAAGGGCCTGTGAGCCTGCAGCACTGGGTAAACATGGGGTGTGCAGGTCCAGCAAGGAAGGGGCACAAGCAGCTCCGAAAGGAAAAAGTGGCAGCCAGCTGTGTATTTTGCAGCCCTGGTAGCCTGTCTTGGCCACAGTGTTGGCTCCTGACCACCAAAGCCCAGAACTGAGGGGCAGCAGCACCTTGAGGTACACAGCACCAGTGAGCCTGTTCCCTGGGTGCTGCTGAGCTCCTCTGGCCTCAAAAAGGGCTGTCGGGGCAAGCAAGGCTCAGGTGCATTACAGCCACGCTGGCCTCAGTCAGGGGACAGCGAACAGGGAGAAGCTGTTTACTGGGAGATGAACCATTAAAGTTGCTCTCCCTCCCAGTCAGTAACTTACAGAGCGGCTGGGAACTGCCCCCGCGGGAGCATCCT